GATGAGGGCAGACGATAGATACCCTTTAAACACAGACTGCACCCATTCGAGACACGGTGACACACCATCATATTTTCCTGTATTCTCTGCATGTGTGTGTGTGTGTGTGTGTGTGTGTGTGTGTGTGTGTGTGTGTGTGTGTGTGTATGTGTGTTCAGTGACCAGTTTGAATAGAAAGGAAGTTGAAGGGAAGTGTTTATGTGAGTGTGTGCGTGGTGTGGGAGAGTCTGTGATGGGACGATGAGTCAGAGAGGACACTTTTCAGCTGCTGAACTGAATGTTCTGAGATAGATTTTCAGTGGATCCCTACCAGCTGCTTCACACACCTTCACCAGCCTCTGTTTGACTTGGTTAGGTCATAAATTGTAAAAATATTCCTATGAAGGTCATATACTGTATGGTATGATTTACAGACCAGTTGCTCCACAGACTCTACAGTATTTTGTTGTTACTGTTACTATCACTATTGTTTTACCCAACGAGGTAGTCTCATTGAAATCAAGATCATTTGCTCAAGTGAAAAAACATCCAACGTACATCCACATAACCAGCAAACAGACCGTGGCCTCGGGTAAACAAAACTATCCAGCAATCAGAAAGAGTCATAAGAAGCATTACATAATAAAGCTTCCAAGGCTGAGGAAAGAATCTAGCTCATGAGCTGCATGCAGTTCTTTCCATGCGACGGAAAGTTCAGTACAACAAATTGATTTCCTGAGATCATGAGATTATTTTACCTTTTTGTCAATAAGAAAGCCCCTACAATTTTGCCATACTTTGAGCAATGAGCTTTGGGTTGTGGAGCCTGTGAGTGCTATTAGGCGGCCTTATTGACTAAGTTTGCTCAGCAAGGAAAATTGTGGCGTGCTGCAATAAATCAAAAGTTCCCCCTCTCTCTTGCTCGTGTGTACTGTGATTTTGCTGATTCTCTCTCTGCCTGTCTCCTTCAGGAAACTCTACTGGACAGATGGGGACAACATCAGCATGGCCAACACAGACGGCAGCAACCGCAGTGTGCTCTTCACCAACCAGAAAGGCCCAGTCGGTGAGTGACGTGCTGTGCTTGCCTCCGCGTGTCTGCATGAGAGACAGCACTCCCTAGTGACGGGGCAGGTGGTTACACATCAGTGCTTTCTTTCGTTTTCCAGGTTTGTCCATTGACTTTGACACAGAGCAGCTTTACTGGATCAGCTCAGGAAACAGCACCGTCAACCGCTGCAAACTGGACGGCTCTGCGCTGGAGGTGCTCGAGGGGGTCAAGGGCAAGCTGACCAAGGCTACTGCTCTGGCCATCATGGGTATGTCTCCAGAAAATGTTCATTTCAGCCAGTGATGTATAGTAGATGAAAGTAGAGAGAATTAAGCCACGTATGATAACTCGACCGTGTTGCAGATTTATGTATGTGTCTTTAAATCTTGCTCCAAGTTAAAGTCCCAGTCCTTCTAGTGTTAGACCTTCCTGCTGTGTGTGGTATCCTTCAGGAGACAAGCTGTGGTGGGCCGACCAAGGAACTGACCAGATAGGAACCTGTGACAAGAAGGACGGAGGCAACTGGAAAGTCCTGAGGAACAGCACATCCCCCATGATGCACATGAAAATCTACAATGAAACTGTCCAGAAAGGTGCAGAGCTGGCTGCCACATGCCAGCTTTTTCTGAGCTTGTAGAGCATTTGTTTTAGTTAAATTACTTGGCGAAAAGAAGGGAAGGAAATCTGTCCTTGTCTCATTGAAGGTCTGTTTTGCTTGCTGGATGTAGCCTGTTTATCTACGCTAAAGCACATCTGTTTATGTCTCTGTAACTCCTCTTTGATTTGTTTTGTGTATTTGTTCCCGTGCTTTTCTGTTCCCAGGCACCAATCTCTGCAGTAATAACAATGGAGACTGTTCCCAGCTGTGTCTCCCCACCTCCCCAACCACCAGAGCCTGCATGTGCACAGCAGGATACAGCCTGCGCAGAGGGCAGCAGTCTTGTGAGGGTATGACATAGTCGTACATGTACTGTATCTTGATTGAAGCCAAATTTGGGTTGAAGAAACTGATGAAAATGATAAATTGTGTGATGCAGAACTAACTATTCAAAGTCTAAACACTGGGGATTTTATTTGTTTGCTGTAGGTGTTGGCTCTTTCCTGCTTTACTCTGTGCATGAGGGCATTCGTGGTATTCCTTTGGACCCATCAGACAAGTCTGATGCCCTTGTACCAGTGTCGGGCACATCCCTAGCTGTGGGCATAGATTTCCATGCTGGTAAGATTTTTTCTAACATGTTTTTTTTTTTTTTTACTCAAATAAGAAAGAAAGTCACAGGCATTAAGTTATTTTGTTGCTTTGATGTAGCTGAAATAATTCACTACTGCATTAAGTATGTGTTACTGTGTAATGTAAAGGTAAGTTCTGTTCAGTCCGACTCTTAATGTGTGTTTTCCCAGACAATGACACTATCTACTGGGTGGATATGGGCCTGAGCACCATCAGCAGGGCCAAGAGAGACCAGACCTGGAGAGAGGATGTGGTCACTAATGGCATCGGCAGAGTGGAAGGCATCGCTGTCGACTGGATAGCAGGTGAGAGACACCACAGACATATTAAAAAAACGCCATTGTCTATGCTCACAGTTACGGGATTCAAACAGTATCAAGTAAACATGCTGATAAACTGTGTTTCACATTGGCTGTCAGTGGCTCTACCACCCTTGCTCAGACTGTCTCTGTCTGTTACCATGCAACAGAACAGGAAAAGGAGATCATTTGAAAGCAAGGAGAAATGATTGCAGTATGAGAGATAACAAGGTCAATGTATCCCAGGTGTCAAAAAAAAAAAAAAAAAAAAAAAAAGACGTCAGTCAAGGTCCAATTCTGCATCAACAAACATGCAGCACATGCTCATCACTTCCTCCGCCTCTATCCCTCACAGGAAACATCTACTGGACAGACCAAGGTTTTGATGTGATTGAGGTAGCCAGATTGAATGGCTCCTTCCGCTATGTGGTGATCTCCCAGGGCCTGGACAAGCCTCGTGCCATCACTGTCCACCCTGAGAAAGGGTGAGAGGAAACGACACTGGGTGTAGCTCTAGTTACTATCTGCAGCTGTCTTTAGCATCTGCTTCTGTAATTTCTCTCCTTATTGATTACAGAGGAAGTTATCTCTGTGTTTTGCTGTGTTTATGTTTGCAGCTACCTGTTCTGGACAGAGTGGGGCCAGTATCCCCGTATCGAACGGTCTCGTTTGGATGGCTCTCAGAGGGCTGTCCTTGTCAATGTCAGCATCAGCTGGCCCAATGGAATCTCCATCGACTATGAGGTAAAGTATAACGGAACATTCTAGAATTCACATCACTGCGTCACAATGCAGAGAGTGAACAAACAGTACTGTGTGTGTGCATGCAGGATGGTCTCCTGTATTGGTGTGACGCAAGGACTGACAAGATTGAGCGCATCAACCTTGAAACTGGAGAAAACAGGGAGGTGGTGCTGGCCAACAACAACATGGACATGTTCTCTGTGTCGGTGTTTGAGAGCTACATTTACTGGAGTGACAGGTGAGATTTACCCCTCCTACTCAGTCTAACTTGTCCTCACTTTTGGAATATCTGTGATTGATATTTTCCTGCTTTCATTTGTAATATTTGTAATATTCCTCCGTAAATGTCTGCAAGCATCAGCCTCTGTTTGATGCTGTTTCTGTCTTCTTTGAAGGACACATGCTAACGGCTCCATAAAGAGAGGCAGCAAGGACAATGCCACAGACTCTGTGTCTCTGAGGACTGGCATTGGGGTGCAGCTCAAAGACATCAAGGTTTTCAACAGGGCCAGGCAGCAAGGTAAGCACTGGGGTGTTTGTTAAATATGTAAACCGTCATAAATCTGCTTCACATGCAAGAATTTAGCATTTTACAAGGGATTTGTATTTTGTGGAATAAATGGTAAATTAAGAACTTCTTAAATGTGTGTTTCCCCGCATTTAGGGATCTGAGAAAAGTGTATTTAATAATAACATCATGGATTTTTATCTCTGTTTACAGGAACAAACGTGTGCAAAGACAAAAATGGCGGCTGTCAGCAGCTCTGTCTTTACCGTGGCAACGGGCAGCGCACATGCGCTTGTGCACATGGCATGCTGGCTGAAGATGGCCGCAGCTGCCGTGACTATGATGGCTACCTGCTCTACTCAGAGCGCACTATACTAAAGAGTGTCCACCTGTCGGATGAAAACAACCTAAATGCACCCATAAAACCATTTGAAGACCCCGAGCACATGAAGAATGTCATTGCACTCACTTTTGATTACAGAGGAGGTGGAGGAAAGGGAGCTAACCGAATCTTCTTCAGTGACATCCACTTTGGCAACATCCAGCAGATCAGTGATGACGGATCTGACCGCAAGACTGTAGTAGAGAGTGAGTATTTCCACATCTTAAGCTTGTGTGAACCTTTTCTATTAGCTTCCCCTTGTTCCTCAACAATCAACCAAACACCCAGCTTTATTCACAGTTTACCTCCAGTGTATTCTCATGAACACGATATCTCAGTAACGCCTTGGGGGTATCTCTTCAAATTTGGCGCAAACATTCACTTGGACTGATTAGATTTTTGTGGTCAAAGTTCAAAGTCAAGGACACCTCATGAAACACATTTTTGTCCATAACTCACCAATTCATACGCTAATTATGACACAATTTAACGCAAATGTCTAATAGGATAAAATGATGAAGTGATGACATTTTATATCTAAATGGTCAATGGTCAACTTCACTGTGACATCATAATGTTCTGCAAATTATTCAGTGCTGTAACTGTGACCATATTTCCTGCAACTTGGCTGGTTGGCGGAGACATACAAGCATGAGGCGGTAATTCTTGTTTATCTGTGCTTTAGGAACAGAGTGTATATAAACACAAACAGGCCCAGAGACAGATGCAGTAGACATTCATTCACCTTATCTCAGCACAACAAATCACAGGTGCACTGTTAATGTTTTACCAAAGTGCCTTGACTTTAATCGGTTTTTACAAGGAATGCATGATTCAACATTGTTTGTCCCACTGTCCCTGTGGAGCAGCTCCTCCCAAGGCAAGCAGTTTGATCTTGTTCTATATCCAGGCTAACAGAGGGAAAGATGTTGCGAGTGCTGTTGTTTTGCCTTGTTCTTTCCTTGTGAGGGTATTTTATTCCGTCCATTTTATTCACATGAGTAATTCAGCAAGGCAACTCAGCTTGCACTTTTTTAAGTTATAAATCCCGGCCGTCAGGTTTTGCGTGTTTGTGTGTTTGTGTGTTTGTGTGACAGGTGTTCAGTTATATCAAGGTAGCTGCTGATAGTAATACTATCAGGCAGCAGCCATATCCACAGCCCCACCTTCTCTTTGCCCCCCCTTTTTAAACAGCCTTAGTAAGTCTTGTCTGAACTTTTGGGACATGAGCACGTAGAGGATGGGGTTCACCACTGTAGAGGAAGTCGCCATGAAGCGTGCAAACACACTGAAGGGGCCGTAACGGGGTGAGGTGCCAGTGGCCCCTGAAATTTCTTCCGCCAGTAAATTCAGCGTCAGGCCGTAGGACGGCAGCCAGCATAGGGTAAAAGCCAGCACCAGCATGGCTGAGGTCTGGGTCACTTTGTTCTGGTAGCGCTCTACTTGGGGGGCCCTGCCGGCCTGCTGACTCCCCCATAGGAACAGGTAGATCTTGCCATAGGCCACAGCAATGGTGATCAGTGGAAGTAAGAAGGCCATGAAAAAGTGAAATAATCCATAGATCAGCTGGTCTTTGTGGGACCGGAAAGCAAAGCATGTGTGTCCATCAGGGGCTTGTCGGGGGGTTCCCACACAGCGAAAAACCAGCTGGGGGACAGCCAGGCAGCAGGCCGGCACCCAGAGGAGTGCAGCAGTTATAGACACCCGGCGAGGGGAGAGGAGACTGTAAGCTCTGGTAGGCTGCACCACAGTCAGATAGCGAGACACAGCCAGCGCGGCCAGCGTGAAGACGCTGGCTGACGAGCAGGCCGATCCCAAGAAGCCCACCAGACGACACATGAAGTCCTCAAACGGCCACTCCTGCATGGCTATGGCAACAGTGTGGAAGGGAAGCGTGGAGAGCAAAAGCAGGTCGGCAGCGCTCAGAGCCAGCAGGAGGATGTCTGTCCCCGTGCCTGTCATGGAGCTGTGAGGGGAATGTCCAGCACCTCTCCTCCGCCTCCCACACAGGATCACCATCACCATAGTGTGCCCGACGACCCCCAGCACCAGAATCAGTGTATCTAATATTGGGACTAGGACCTGCTCCACCTTGCCCAGCCCAGTGTCACTGCCGTTCCCCGGCAGATCCTCTGAACCTGTACAGTTCCACAGCAGCATCGCGTCTTCAGTTGTGGACATGTCTTTCACTCATACCGTGACTGTAGGAACACAGTTGGCTTTTGGTTGGGTCAATATGCTCAAGCCAGTCATAAAACTACTGATAATACAAGTGGGAATGATTACTCACTGTGCGATGACAGCAGTGTACTCAGACATGACGACACACAGATTTCCAGTCATTTAACATCTACGTGTCGACGATTAAAATGAACCAATAAGAACTAAACATGATTGTTAAATACATACAGCGTACACACATTACATACGTTCATGTTCCTGCTGACAGTGTGAAAATGATATACCTCTCAGAAACTGTCCTTTAAAACACAACCAGCAAGTGACCCATTCCCATGTGCTGTATGTGACTCAAGCCGTTTTAACAATCCTCGAAATCTGCTCCACCTTTGATTGGGGGTGAGAGAGGGAACAAAATAACATCAGACACCTCCACTGAAGTCAAGTCAGTGCTGATTTCTTAGTTGCTGGAGTCCCTTCATCCCTCTCCACAGACTCCTGTTAAGAGCATCCGAGTGTTCGGAGCTAAATGCTGTAGATTGTGTGATTTCCTGTCACCTCCTGGCAGGCGGCTACTCCACACGACACCTTAATCAGGACCCCTTGCTCAGCGGCCCACAATCAGCCTTCCTCATGCCTCCGAGGAAGGGATCTACTTAGACACACAATGGTGGTGAATAACTCAACAGCTAGAGAGGATGAAACCGAGTAAACGACAGGTGAACTCTGGACTGATTATCACAGAGCAGGACTGACAGAGATGGGCTGGCCTGCTTTCTGTGGGAGGGCCAAATGAGGCCAAACATAGTTTTTTTTGTTGTTTTTTTTCCCAGGGTCCATTGTTTCTGTTCATTTTCTGAAAGGAGCTGTGCATTTTCTAGAAGCGCTGTGTCTGCAGATACACACGGTTTGGAGAACATATGCAGATATGGTATATACACAATGAGAGACAGAGTGAAGTAGTGTGTGTCTTCAGAAATCAGGGTAATTATTGACTGCCCGTCTGATAGCAAACATTGACCTGCTATCGCACCTACGGCAGATAACTGCAATAAAAAACTCAATGCCACTATAACCAGCTGAGCTCAACAGCTATAAATTCAACCTATCTGTATTATTGTAAACAACAAGCGAAAATGTACAGAACCCCAGATAGGCTTAGGTCAACGACAATGTGAAGATAAACAGATGTGAAAAGCAAGAATTTGAGTCAAGAGCGCTGCTGGCCAGAGATTTACAATTCATTAACAGCACTGAAGAAAGAAGAAATAGCAGTGGATGGATTTCTCTGGCGCTCGCTATCGATTTTTAGGGCATTGATTTATGATTGTGAGAAGCAGAGGGGAGTTGCTTTTGTGTTGCGTGCCCCCGCTAGGCTTTCCAGTCGCTTTTCTTCATTCAGAATCTCAGAGCACGCACTGGACAAATGTTGATTCATGTCCGAGGCATTTCACTGTAGGTGTAGTGTTAAGTGTCCCACCTGGTGGTGAATCTTGCTGATCCTCTGGACCGAGTGAGGTCATCTCCAGCCCCGGAAAAGGCTGCTGTGATCATTAGACCCTCACTGTTCCATTGCAGTAACAGTAACAATAAGGCAGCTATTACCAATTATTTGTCATGGGAGTGAACTGATGCATAGTTGTTTTTAAATTGACTGTGTGCATGTATTGTTTCTCAGCAACAGAACAGCTGTTCTTTATCTGCCGCTACAGAACTTTGTGTTCCTCCATCTTGGCTGCCCTCTCGTCTGTCCTCTGGCCTCTGTGCAGGCGAGGAGTGCACAACCTCTTACTCATTTCACGGCTATGGAGCAGAAAAATGACTTTTTACTTCTCATCTGTTGATGAGGTAGTGCAATGGAAAGTAATACACTAGCCAGTAACTGTTTTTGTGACCTTTTTAGTGAGCTATTTGTTGGATAAAAGCCTCGAATCACACGGTGTTCTTGGTCATTAATACCAAGCTGTCATGTCCATAGCCCTGACTCTGTGCTGCCACATAGCATTTGCCAGCACTGAGCTACTGCCAGACAGTCCACACTTGGCCTTTTAACACAGCACTGGGATTGACGTGCTTCTTTTCCTTCCCCTCTTTTATCTTCTGTCTTTTCCCTCATTCTGGTTTAATGTCTCCCTGTTCTTTTTCTTTACCCACTGTGATCTGTATTTATCTTTGTGTTTCTTTCCCCTCTTCTCTCAATTGCTCTGTTCTTTTTCAGATGTGGGCTCAGTGGAGGGTTTGGCGTACCACAGGGGCTGGGATATGCTGTATTGGACCAGCTATACAACCTCAACCATCACCCGCCACACTGTGGATCAGAGCCGCTGGGGGGCCGTTGACCGGCACACGGTGGTCACCATGTCGGGGGATGATCACCCAAGAGCCTTTGTCCTTGACGAGTGTCAGAGGTTAGAACTAAGTCGGTTATTCACATCCAATACTGCTCGCATGTTGTGCCAAAACTTTACACCTATTTACATCACTGATTATATCTCTCTCCTGCAGCCTCATGTTCTGGACCAACTGGAACGAGCAGTCTCCCAGCATCATGCGTGCCACACTGACTGGTGCCAATGTCCTTGTGATCATTGGCACGGACATCCGAACCCCTAACGGCCTGGCCATAGACCACCGTGCTGAAAAACTGTACTTCTCTGACGCCACGCTGGACAAGATAGAGCGCTGCGAGTATGACGGCAGCCGGCGCTATGTGAGTGACACAAACACTTAACATGCAGACACACACAGCGTACATCATGAAGCATTAAGGAAAATATTTATATATATTTATATATTTATATTATAATTGTATCACGGGATTGCCTAATAACAGCACCTCAGTGTGTTTATCCTTTCGAGTTTGTTCCAAGGCTGGAATTTCCTGAATGTATGAGGTCAGGGCTGCGTTTGTGCTTCCCCCTGCAGGTGGTACTGAAGAATGAGCCGGTCCATCCGTTTGGCCTGGCTGTGTACGGTGACTACATCTTCTGGACTGACTGGGTGAGGAGGGCTGTGCTCCGTGCTGACAAATACACAGGAGGAGACATGAAGGTGCTGCGTGCCGACATCCCTCAGCAGCCGATGGGTATCGTTGCGGTGGCCAACGACACCAACAGCTGTGAGTTTTTTTTACACACAGAGATGGATCCCAATGTTTGTGTAGAACTGTGTGATTGTGTATGTATGTATGTGATTTGGTAAATTTTATGTCAAAATCAATTGGAAAAAAATACTTAGGCAATAAAAAGCCTTGCCCATTTTTGCCTAATCCAGCAAATTAAATAGCTGCCAACTCAAGATACTTGTCTAATTGCCATTAATCAGTCCAACTGATTGATCTACAACATTGCACAATCACCAAATGCCACCAAAAATGAACTGATAAATTAAATAAAAATTAAATGGTTTGAAATGTATAGCAAAATCTCTGGCAGTTGACAAATTTATATAATTTCATATAGCACTAACATGCACCTAAACCATACATACAGCACATTGCTTCGACTAGTAAAACATAGTGTAGTGCAATATCAACAGCTCTTTTTATATTTACATGTTGAGCAGTCATTATTGAGGTAGAACCAGTATAACTTGGGGTGTTATGAAATTTCATTACTGTATACAATAGCTGTGATAACATCAACATACGTAGGGCATTACAAATCAAACTAGTTCGATAAAAGGTTTTAACACAAGCTGTTTTAGAGCAAGTATTTAAACACTCACTGGCACAACACACGTGAACTAAGATGTTTTTTCTGCCCCAACAGAGCAGTTAATGGGATGACAAAACTAATCTGGGAGTGACGCTGCACCAGATGAATTGCAGACACCTCCATTCATGAGCTCTATATTACCACAGGCACACACCCTCTAAATTGCTCTTCACTTTTCTCCATACGTCTTCACCTCTCTCTCCAAATCATCTTGTTCTACATCTCCCATTGTCTATATACTTTTAAATCAATGCAGCCCTGTGTTTTTTTCTCTTCCATATCGTCAGCCATCTTTTCCCTCAATTTGCCTCATTCAGTAAACTCTCTCGTGCTCCAATACCCACAGCGACCATACAAGCCGAGAGCCTGCGGTAAATAGCTGCAAATCCCATTTAGATTGAGTCACATTGAATTACGCATTCAGCGGAGAGCGGAGGCAAGGCCACATCAGGCAGGCGTGTTTGTCTGCTGATGGGGATGTGTGTGTAGGGGGAATGTGTTTGCTTGTGTGTCAGGAGGGTGGATGTGGGGTCAGAAATTCTCATTCACTCAAGTGTGTGTGTGTGTGTGTGTGTGTGTGTGTGTGTGTGTGTGTGTGTGTGTGTGTGTGTGTGTGTGTGTGTGTGTGTGTGTGTGTGTGTGTGTGTGTGCAACTTTCCTCATGTCTGCATAGGTGAGTTCTCTCTGTGCCGTGTTGACAATGGAGGATGTCAGGATCTGTGTCTGCTGACCTCAGAAGGAAGGGTCAACTGCAGTTGCCGTGGTGACAGGAAACTTTTGGAAGACAACACCTGCATAGGTAATGCAAGCAAGGGATTCATAAAAACAAATGTTAGGCTTAAAATTCTCATCATACAAAGATAAAAAATTCATCTTTTACACACTGTTTTATTCATTTTTTTTATCTGCTTATTTTACTGTGCAGAAGCTCTTTTACATGCAGACCGCAATGTAATAAAATAACAAGCAAAGACTGAGATCAGGACTTGAATGGATTTGAAAGAGCACTGAAAATGTTTCCATGCAGCATGCCTCAGGGGTGGGCAACTCTTGCTAAGTGCATTTTTCTGTCCTTGTCTCGCAGCCCTAAACACTACATGTAACAGCATTGATGAGTTTGAGTGCGGGAATGGAGACTGTGTTAACTACACCCTGACTTGTGATGGCATGGCCCACTGCAAGGACAAGTCTGACGAGAAACAGTCCTACTGTGGTGAGTGGAAGGTTTTTCTCTCGCAGTTTCAGCCATACTATTGCTGTTGACATTTTTAAGTTGAGTCCATATCGTATCCTGTTCTCAGCCAACCGTGTGTGTAAGAAGGGCTACAGACGGTGTGTGAATGGCCGCTGTGTGGGGCATAGCTCCTGGTGCAACGGGCAGGACGACTGTGGAGACAATTCTGATGAACTCTTCTGTAACAGTGAGTCGAGTAAACTTTATTTTTTTTTTCCGCCCGACGTCATTTTGATTTTTTAAAAATTGCGTTCTGCCTAAATACTGCGTCTCGTTTTCCTGTGTGTCAGCCACACTGTGCTCGGCCGATCAGTTCCAGTGCAGAGATGGAGGCTGCATCTCCAACTCCAGCAAGTGCAACCAGAAAGTGGACTGTGAGGATGCCAGTGACGAGATGAACTGCAGTGAGTTCAGCAAAAATTAGGAAAAAACCTATAATAAGAAAGGCCAACACTGTCTCTCAGGCTGTGGTAAAAAGTAGTTCTGCTCTCTCTGTTCAGCTGCCACGGACTGTTCCAGTTACTTCCATCTGGGAGTGAAGGGAATGACATTTCAGAAGTGTGAGTTCACCACCCTCTGCTATGCCCCTTCATGGCAATGCGATGGCGCTAATGACTGTGGAGACTTCTCTGATGAAAGAAATTGCCCAGGTATTTTAAGAGCCTCTGAAATACACATATTTTCTCACAGCTGAATGTACACGCAGTATTCCAGGAACAAGTGAAATCATTTTTTC